TCCTCATTACAGGCCTCCTTCTAGAAGGTGACCTAGAAACAGGCATCAAAATGTAAAATATGCAACTCTTTTGGCTCAGCATCTCCGCTTCTGGGAATTTATCTTAAGGAAAAAATCAGACGAGAATATCATCATTGCCTTGTTTAGAATAGCAAAGACACGGAAACAGCTTAAATATCTGTTAACATGGTGTTACCTTTTTAAATGGGGGTTTATTTATTCAGTGGAATATTAAGCAGTTATTAAAAATTATGGTGCACATCTCTATGTATGGCCATTGACCATTACCCTCTGATAGAATGTCAAGGGGAAAAAATCAGGTCTCAGAACAGTGCATTCGAACGATCGAGTTCACGTAAACTACGCTTATGTTTATATATGCATTAGAACTCAGGAAGGCTATTAACCAACCTACTACTGTGAAAATCTTTGAGAAAGAGAGAGTGAGTAGATAGCTGGTATTTGCTGTAAAATTTCTGCATTGTATGAGTTTTTAACAATGTATCACTTTTATGACAAGAAAATATATATTTCAGATTTGAAGAAAATCCTTGCACCTTTTTTTGTGGGCTTGAAAGGGAAAAAAACTCAGTAAATGGTTTAAGTAGCTGATTTGAGAGTAAATAACGTGACAAAGAGCTGCCGTGGAAGAGAAGATGTCTAGATGGTTGGCGTAATTAAAGGCAATATCAATGGCAAGAAAATAATGACGCTCCCTATAAACTACTTTTAAAGAAAATTTCTATGAAACCTGCACCTTGTGATTAAAGCTAAACATGTAAACGTCACAGCAATGTTACGAGGATGACCTGTGTGGCTACTCCCTCTAGCTGCCTCGGGCTCCAGGGGTCCCCTGTGAAGTTGGAGTCGAGCCGGATCTGGGGCTCAGGCGGTTCTCAGTAGCTCTGCCTGCCAGTGACACATTTCAAGAGGGCAGGATCCCACAGTGACCCAAGGAGGCTGGCGATCCACAAGGACGGTGCTTACCTCAGTCCTTTGCCAGGTCCTTGTCTTGGCAGCCAAAGACGCCTTCGCCCCATGCATCAACAAGCAGGTATTTAACCAGGGACTTGGTATATGCCCCACCGAGCTGGGGACAGGTCGGAAGGGAAGAAAGGGAGGGTTGCTACCCTAAGGGAGCCTGTAACCAGCTCTTCTAGGGCCTGGGCAACTGTGGGCAATATTGGAGCAGCAATTCACAAAGCAGGTTGTTGACTTACCCATATGTGAAGGAACCAAAGATGTCGGGGTGAGGGGGGTATCTCCACTGGAAGTGATTAGGATCAGGAGGTACCTAACTCCCTGCTTGAGGTGCAGTGGCTGTGATTTCTGAGGCAAGGATAAGGTGCCACTGAGAACTGGAATGTCTGAGGAAGGAAGTGAGGCAGCCTGGTGTGGCAGCTGAGGCTGGGTGGTGGAGGCAGGGCAGCCTGCTCCGCTGCTTGCTAACCGTGTGCTTTGGGCAGTTACTTAATCATTAAGCTCTAACTTCTTCACTTGTTGAGAAGAAAAGGGGATAGTAACAGCATAAGATCATGTGAGCCAAGTACTTTGGAGGTGAGCACACCTGAGGTCCTAAGGCAGGGGCCGAGGGCAGCATCCCCTGCCCAGAAGCAGGCAAGGAGCACACTGGAAACACCACTTCCATGTGGGTGTCCAAACATAGACACCGCCACAGCCATGGCTGCTGCAAAAGCGGTGGACTCCACAGCTACTGTGCAGACAGCCTGCCAGACACTTGACTGCACCAACACAAGGACAGTCACCAGCAGAGACCAGAAGAAGAAGAGGATGTCTCTTTCCTGAGAGCCCACTCCAGAGTAACGGAAGAAGCAACTTCTCTACCAGATGACCAGACATCAACACAGACATAGTAGAAATATGAAAACCCAAGAAAATATGACACCACCGAAAGAATACAGTAATGCTCAAATACCAGCCCCTATAGAGCAGGAAGCCCTTGAAATGACTGAAAAGGAGTTCTGAGCAACAATCTTAAGGAAACTCACCAAGATATGAGAAGACTCAGTTAGAAAATGTAATGAAATGAGGGGAAAAACCCAGGATATGAAAGAAGAAAGTTACAAAGAAATTAATACCTTAAAAAAGAATGTAGTAGAACTCATGGAACTGATTCACTCAACAAAATAAAAAACACAACTGGTGTCTTAAGCAGCAGGCTAGAACAAGCAGAAGAAAGAATTTCTGATCTTGAAGATAGTCTTTTTAAAATAACCCGGGCGGACAGAAAAGAGGTGTCTTAAGCAGCAGGCTAGAACAAGCAGAAGAAAGAATTTCTGATCTTGAAGATAGTCTTTTTGAAATAACCCAGGCGGACAGAAAAGAAAAAAAAAATTTTTTTTTAAATGAAGAAAACCTGAGAGAGCTAGCAGACAACCTTAAGTGCACAAACATTCAAATCACGGGTGTTCCGGAAGGGAGGAGAAAGGAAAAGGCATGGAAAACCTATTCAACGAAATAATAACAGAAAGCTTCCCAGTAAAGGGACAGACATGCACCTTTGGATCCAGGAGGCTCAAAGATCCCCAAACAGATTCAACCCAAAAAGATCCTCTCTAAGGCACGTAATAGTCAAACTGACAAAGCTCGAAGGCAGAGAGAGAATCTTAAAAGCAGCAAGAGAAAAGCATCAAGTCACCTAGAAGGGAGCCCCTATCAGGCTAACATCAGGCTTCTCAACAGAAACTATGGGCCTGAAGAAAGTGGGATGATAAGTTCAAAATACCGAAAGAAGAAGCCGCCAGCCACGAATGCTATACACGGCAAGGCTGTCCTTCAGAAATGAGGGAAAAATAATGCATTTTCCAGACAAACAAAAACTGAGGGATTTCACCAACATATGACCAGCCCTGCAAGAAATCCTCAAGGGAGTCCTGCATCTGGAATCCAAAACATGACAATCACTACCACGAATGCAGAAAAAAGAGCAAAACCCACTGGTAGAACAAAAGTCCAAACGAGAAAGAGAAAGAGACTAAATCTACCACCACAAAAAACCGTAATGACCATGGAGTGATATCCCTGCTTTATTTCTGATTTTAGTAATTTCTGTCTTCCCTCTTTCTTGGTCAGTCTAGATAAAGGTTTGCAAGTTTTGTTGATCTTTTAAAAGAGTCAACTTTTGGCTTTGTTGATTTTCTCTATTTTTAAATTCCCTATTTCATATACTTCTGTTGTAATCTTTCTTATTTCCTACTTGTACTTGCTTGGTTTAGTTTGCTCTTCTTTTTCTGTTTTCTTAAGGTAGCAGTTCACATTACTGATTTGAGAATTTTATTATTTTTAATACAGTTGTTTACAAGTATAAATTTTCCTTTAAGCGCTGCATCCTGTAAATTTTGACAGGTTGTGCTTTGATTGCCACCTCACAGTACTTTCTAATTTCCCTGTAGTTTATCTTTTTTCCCATTGTTTATTTAGGAGAGTGTTACTTAATTTCCACACATTTGTGAGTTTTCTAAATGTCCTTCTGTTATTGTGGCCAGAGAACATATTTTCTATGATCTTAGTCTTCTTAATTAAGACTTATTAGAAATAATAAGTAAAGCACTTTGTACAAAGTTAGTCCTTTTAGTCACTTTTTCAATTAGGTGTTATCACGCCCATTCTACAGAAAAGTGAATTGAGGCTTAGGAACAAAGTGAAGTCGCCCCAACGCTGAAGCTCACGTTCCGTTACGGGCCTCCCTCGCGCCCTCGTCGTGACACCTGCCCCTCGCCTCTAGCCCGCTCTTCCTCCTCTGCCCCTGCACGCACGTGTCATCACACACTGTCTCATCCCTCCTCTCGTGCGTGTGCAGGTCAGGATCAGACTCTCGGGTCCCCGAGTAGCGTGCAATGATGAGACTGGAGAGGAGAGTCAGGAGGCATCAGCAGGAGAGTGACGAGAGGACTTGAGAGTGACAACTCCTAAAGAGCAGAGAGACGACAGCCTCTGGGACTGCAGACGTGGGAGCGGCAGAGCCAAGGCCATGTTTGTGAGTGGGCAGGAACCTGGAGAGGCAGAGTCCCTGTCGCCCAGCTTGGGAGAGGATGGGGGGGTGAGAGTGGAGGCTGGAGACTGGGTGCTGGTGCAGCCGCGGGGCGAGGCACGCGCTGCGGAGGGGAAGGGGCGCGCTCAGCCTCGCGGACAGTTAGTGGCACTGAAGTGAGGGGCTCCAGGCCAGACTCTCATGACCTTGTGTCCTTGTCACTGGAAGATCCCAAACTCTACCGTCACATGGGGATATTTGCATGTGGAATAAGGTGTTACAAATTTATTCTTTTCACACTTTAAACTAGTAAGGATTTGATTTCCAAGCCTGATTCTTCTATTTTCTTCTACCCCATATTCACTTTGTCTGACGTCATGCCAGTGAGGACCTGGTCAGGGAAAGAACGCACAAATCTGCGGCCTGTCCCAGGATCCACACACCTAGGAGCGATTGTTCTTTTAAACGAAGATGGTTCAGCAAGCCTGAGAGCACCTGTCCCGGGACCGGCTGCTTGTGCTGAAGGGAAGGGCGAAGGCGCAGGGAAGAGGCCCTGGAAGTCTGCAGCTGTGGGGGAGGCCTTGCTGGAGGAAGGCCGGCGTCTCCAGGAAGGGGAAGGACAGCCCCTGTGCACCCAGCCAGGGGTGGCCGTGGCCGCGTCAGCTTCGTGTAGGGTCTGGCTTCACCCCTTCCAAGTGAGCGCTTGCTGAGTGCCTGGGTCTCCTCTTGAAATGGAGATCACAGCAGCAGGCGCAGCAGCCACCCTGGGCTGGAGGACGGGGCTGCTGGGAGGCGCTTCTCCCCTGCCCTTCCC